TGGGCTTGTCATGGCTTTCCAGTCCTAGTGGCTCTTCTGAAATTAACCTGATTAATCAGAAGTCAGGTGTGGCCATTTGTGACATCATTCTCTGACTTTACAGTCATTTCTAGTTCTAGTGAAATTCCCTTTGCTTCATACTTTTCTGATACAAATGACCTCTGTATGACAAGGGAATGGGCATAGATGGAGGCCCCAGTTATTGCTCATACACACAAATGAATCAACGTTGGTTGTTTTAAAGACCCATCTGGGCTGGTCCACGTACTGTCTACACATCCAGCTGCAGCAAATATCAGTGTCCTTGCCCTTGGACTTGGCTGTGGATATAGCTTGCATCTGATTTGGTCCAGCAGCAGCATCTTCCAGAATGTTGGTATCCAATGAACATTTTAATGCTAAGTGGTAATAACAGGGAAATAATTGATCTGGAAACTTTTAAGTACAAAATGCTTTTAATAACACTTTTTTTTAGCACAGGGAAATATACACAAAATGTTATGATAACTCACAGAGAAAAAAATGTGACAATGAGTGTGTATATGTCCATGAATGACTGAAAAATTGTGCTGAACACTGGAATTTGACACAACATTGTAAAATGATTATAAATCAATAAAAAATGTTAAAAAAAACCACTTTTTTTTCCCTATGAGGAAAATCATTCCCTACATGTTTCTTTTTTTTTTTTAATTGAAGTATAGTTGATTTACAATGTTCTGTTTCTGGTGTGCAGCACAGTGATTCAGATATAGGTTTATCTATTTTTTTCATATTCTTTTTCATTATAGGTTATTACAAGCTATTGAATATAGTTCCCTGTGCTGTACAGTAGGACCTCGTTGTTTATTTTATATATAGTAGTTAGTATCTGCTAATCCCAAACTCCTAATTTACCCCTCCCCCTCTTACCTCCCTGGTAACCATTAGTTAGTTTCCTTTGTCTGTGGATTTGTTTCTCTTTTGTAAATAAGTTCATTTATGTCATTTTTTTTAGATTCCACATATAAATGTTATCATACTTATATTTATCTTTATTTATCTTTCTCTGACTTACTGCACTTAATATGATAATCTCTGGGTCCATCTATGTTGCTGCCAGTGGCATTATTTTATTATTTTTATGGCTAAGTAGTATTCCTTTATATATAGATACCAAATCTTCTTTATCCAGTCATCTGTCGATGGACATTTAGGTTTGTTTCCATATCTTGACTATTGTATATAGTGCT